CCCCCTCCCTCCCTACCTCCCTCTCGCTTTTTCTTCCTATCTACCTATCAGGGACTGAATCCAAGGGCACTTTACCACTAAGCCACATCTCCAGCTTTTTCTATTTTGAGACCGGGTCTAAGTTGCTGAGGCTGGGCTTGAACTTGAACCTCCTGAATAGCTGGGATTATAGGTGTGCACCACTATGCCTGACTTAATTTTGGGGGGGGGGGAGAGGGACAGAATTCTTAATACTTTAATGTTTAAATTTTATGTTTTAGAAATGAATTTGACAATATTATCAAATTACCTGATAATATAAACAGCTAATATATATTTCAGTGCTTATCTTGTGTTGGTCACACTAAGTAGTCTCTTGAAGTTCTCCCATTATTCCCCACAACAGTCTTTGTTTCATTTAGGAAGTTATCATGCAGAGAGGTTCAGTAACTTGCCTAAAGATACACAGCCAGGAGCTAGTTGTGTAAATAGTTAGTCTAACCCTGTAGTTCAGTATAACAAAATTATGAGAAAGTATCTTTGTAGTTCAAAATCTATCAGAAAATACCAGCTGTTTCCTAGAAGAGAAAAGCCTGAATAAACTTCTGAAAACGTTGCTAAATAAAGATATGTCTAGAATGGAAAACTACACATTAGCAATTAACACTACACTATCTAGGCTTGCATATAGAACCAATATTTATCTCCAATGTTTTGACTATATCTCAGATGAAATTAATTTTTATACCTTTATTTCTTAAAAGGTTAACTTAAGGTTGAAGATAGAAATATAGAATAATATTTTTTTAAAGAAATCTTCAGTGGAGGAAAATCCTCCACAAGTACATGAGTTAAACTTTGTTTCTGTTTAACTAATTTTTTTAATAAAGTTTATTTGTATGTGGTGCTGAAGATCAAACCTAGTGCCTCACATGTGGTAGGCAAGCACTCTACCATTGAGCTACAACCCCAGCCCCTGTTCAACTAATTTTATAAAGCTTTCAAAATGGGTCCTACTAGTGCTTGGGCAGGCAGTTTAAAATAGTGAGAGAACATGAACTGGGGAGAAGTCTGTGTTCACATCCTGGCATTTTGTTAACTTCATTATTTGTTTTGTAAATGAATCATTTAAGGTCAACCTCATTGGGAATCCAAATTAGAGATCAGGCTTGCAAGATATGATTCCTAATCTAGACTCAAATGACTAATAATGTAAGGGAAAAAAACAGAGCAGATGATTAAGGGTGGGTGGGGTTAGGAGGAATGCCAGAAGACCTAAGGCCATGACAGTTTCATGCATTTACTTTTGATGATCTCCTTTTAAAGTCTACTAAAAGAGGTTTCATGCCCCAAGTGAAATCATCATCACGGGATTTGTTTTAGTGCATTCAATCTGAGAAGTTTTGGAAGAAAAAAATATACCTATGTACCATTATTTCTGTATTTATTCAAAGACAATTAATATTTTCACAAATCAATACTTTTAATACTCTTTAAAGCATTAAGCTACATAACTATCTAATTTTTGTGTTAGTGAAAACAATAACCTAGACTTTAACCTTTCAAATCAAAGTTTTATATTTAATTTTTTAAAAGGCCCTTTCTCCTACTATTTTATAACAACTCCTTCTTTTGCTTCTTTTCTATACCCTTTGGCTCAGCATTAAAAAAAAAAAAGTGGCATGTTTTGCAATATTGATGACCAACTAAGCTCAGGATATTTATTTCCATCTGGTAGAGTTCAACTTCTGCCTCTTGTTTGCTTTCTCCATCTGCCTGCCTGGCCTTCATCTTTTTTTTTCCCCCTCCTCCTTAATGGAGTTCAGGTTAACCCTGTTTTAGGTCTAATCGTTTTAGCAGGCTCATGCCTTCTTACCACAATCTGTTTCCAAAAGAGTTTGCAAGTAGAGTTTCAAGTAAAATTAGATGTGTACTAAATACTCTCGAGATTCAAAAGTTTTTTTCTTTCATCTTCTTTTTTTTTTTAAGATTAGTAGAACTCTAAGTATTAAACAGTATTTGAACTGGGTGGGGGGGGTTGTTGTTTTTGTCTATACACGTTTTTAAATGCATACGCAGACTTTTTAGTTTTCAGTTTGTTACAGGAGCCATGTTACATTTATGTTCAATGACTGGCTTTCCTATACACATTAAACTGGATTCGATAAAGTTTCAACTCTTCTTAACTCCCAAAGTTACTGAAACCAGCAGCCACAAATGGCATTACTAACCTACTTATTTTGCAATTTAAACTTTGACAAAGACATTTCCTCATTCTTCTCCCTGTGTGGAGTAGAAACGGCTTCATGGCGTTGGCACCTCTTCTGAGAAGGGACTGGGATTCCCCAAAGATGTAGTCTGGTTTTTTGGGAAGGATACCTCATGAGAGCGATTTCCCTATCCTTTTCCCTGGTACCCTCACCTCTCGGTTCCTGCACATGAAAAGCCTTTACCCGCACCCCATCCCGCTGCACGCTCTTCCTGCGTGTGGAACTAGCCACGCAGATCCCGAGCGGGGATGACACGTAAACACCGAGTACGCAATGGGAAAGGAGCTATGGATTTGAGCCCGACCAGATCAGCCAGCGCGCGTGTAGACACATCTCACACAACACTAAGCCTCAAGCTCCAGTCAGGCAGCGCACTCCTTGCAAAAGGATGCGCTGGCCCAGGGCCTGGACTTGCCAAAGCGGGAAGGAGGAGCTACGGGGGAGGGCGGAGCTTTCACACGCGCACCCTCCCTCTGTTTCCTTCTTCGCTCGGACCCAGCAACTTGGTCTCCGGCCGCCACTCGGGGTTTATTTGTTTACAAGCGGATTACGTCAGCTCCTCCCTCTCTTCCCGGTCTCTGGGCCCGCCCCCTGGGTCCTTTTTCCCGCCCCCTCAGGCTCCGAATCTGCTTGCGTCACAATGGTGCGATCTCCGGATTGGCTAGAGTCGGCCGTCACGCTCCAGCTACGCCACTTCCTTTCCGCGGCACTATAAAAAGTGCTGCACGGCGGCAGCATCTCTTCGCCCCTCGGAGCTGGAAATGCAACTCTTGGGATCTTTGGAGGCTACGGAGCTGGAGGCGGAGGCGGCTGGGGAGGTCCGAGCGATGTGACCGGGCCGCCATCGCTCGTCTCTTCCTCTCTCCTGCCGCCTCCTGTCTCCGAAATAACTTTTTTACTCTAAA